GGTACTTCCAAATGCTCGGCGATATTCTACGTTGAGGCCATGATAGCTTTGGTTTTATTTCCCGCTTCTTGTAACACCAGGGTAAAAGCCCTGAGCTCCTCTTCAACGATTTTCCTGATATCGACACGCTTGCCCTGTACAGGGGTCTTGTCCGCGGTTTCAGGTGGGGGCGAGTCCTCTAATGACAACGGAATGGCAACATCCGTACCGTCGTCAAATATCCCCGCTTCCCATTTCTCAATTCGAAGACGACTTCGTTCTGCACCTTCCCACTCAGCCCTCAATTCTACCATTCGGTTTTTGAGTGCTCGGATTTTCCGCCCTGCATCGGCAGTCGCGGCCCCGTCAACCTGCGCTTGCTCTGAAATGACGCCTAGTGTAGAAACAAGAGATTGTGTGACTGTACGCATATAGGTAAGGTGAGGTATGGTGTTTGATGGTGTTGGTGGTCCAGTAGACTGTGGAGAAGGTGGCAGAAGTGGTGCTTCTTTGGCTGGAGCCACGTCCGATTCAAAGCCATAGTCTTCTTCTTCTTCTTCACCCTCCTCCTCCTCCTCTTCCTCTTCCATCAAATCCCCTAGTGTTCGGGAGTCTCTAGGATCTTCCCAAGAGGCAGAGGCATCACGACTCGGGTGGCCTACTGTACTACCATCTTCCTCGGTAACAGAGCTTCTTGCAAATCTAGGGTCGTCTATTAGACCTTCTACCCGCTCTAACTCGTCTAAGTCTCCAAGAACATCATTTCCGCCAATCTCGCCTGCAATTTTGCGAAACTCGCGCTCGCACACCAGGAGCTCGCGCACTTGTTCCTCTCTTTCCTTTTCCGTCTCATTAATTTTTCTTATGATGTCGGTCGCGAGTTGTTCCAACAAGGGCTCGTGGCTGGAGGTGGGTGGATGGGTGTTGTCGAGATCCAATCGCCTTAGCTGTGTTATGAAGAGATCGGTTGACTTGAGATTCTGATTGAGCATTAACAAGGGGTCTTGTTCGAACACTGGAGAAGGGGATCGTATTTGGGCGGAGGGAATTTCCAGATTTGGGCTTGCCACAGTGATCACCGGTTGACTATCGAGGAATTGAGGTACCTCTTCAGCCTGTATGATACCGTCAACTTGATTGAAATTTTGTGGTTCTTCTGTATCCACAGCATTTGAGACTTCTTGGCCCTCAGTTTCGTCTTCCTCCAGCTCGATGCCGAACTCATCCGCAAGGAGCCGGGATGAGGAGTTAGGATCTGGCATTAATGCAGCCGCAAGCTCGTGTGCAAGTGTGAACCGTTGGCCTCCATCCGTCTCCCCTCCCATGTCTTCAGCTAATGTACCTTGCTGCCGTAAAGAGACATTGGATCGCCTGGAAGAAAGACCATTGGGTGATTTACGCGGTGTTCGTACACCTAGAAGTTGAGACCCTAGATCTGCCATGTATGGGGTTTGGTAATGTAGTAGTCGAGGTGGTTAGCAGAAGGAAGCCAACAAAGCAAAGGAAACACTATGGTGGTTGATGCTCGGCCACAACAAACTCCTCCCTCGAATATCGCAAATAACACCCAAACGCTACTGGAATCCTACTCGACAAACCTACCGTGGGTTTGCAGTAAAAAATGTTGACGACTTCAACTACAGTCGCAATGAATACATGCTAGAAGGTCGAGATGCGCGTGACGAAGAAATTGCAACATACCCACGAGTTACAGCGCAGGACCTCACAGCATATAAATCACCTCCACAAGGTGTCAAGATGCTCGTCCGTGATTTCATCCAGGACTCCCTCTACAATCCCAACTATGGCTACTTTTCAAAGCGTGCAGAAATTTTCTCGCCAGTTGAACCGATAAATTTCAATGAAATTCGTGAAGCTGCAGAATTTGACGCCACTGTGGCACGCATGTATCGAGAATATGATGTTAA